CCTGCTTTTACACCTAATTTAATTTCAAAATGCTGTCTTACTTTTCAACCATGTTTTTCTTCTGTTGCATAAAATGTGCTTAAACCATTTACGCTGTCGTTACTTTCATACCACATACATTAACATTTGAAACCCACAGTACCAGATACAGTAGAAATCATGGTCTTAAAATGTCGTAACAGGGCAAGGCTTGATACTTTACCCCCTTAGGTGTGGCTGTATAAAGTAATATCATTTATAGCCACACTCGGCTTAATGAGATCAACGCAGTTATCATTACTGTCATATAATGCCTGACAGCTCAGCTCAGACTGTCTCTGTTTCCCCTGTAGGAGGTGTAGTGTTGATATCAGGGACCGGCTCGAACTGCAAGTTAGTCAATCCCGATGGCTCACAGATCGGCTGTGGAGGCTGGGGTCACTTGATGGGTGATGAAGGATCAGGTAACCATGGCGATATGTATATGAATCATTTATAGCTTTCCAGATCGGATCAAAGTCTTAAGACATCTTTCTGTGTCTCAGCATTCTGGATCGCTCATCTGGGGGTGAAGATGGTGTTTGATGCCAAAGACAACCTGGTGGCTCCTCCTCATGACATTACACAAGTCAGGAAAGCCATGGAGGAATACTTCCAGGTCAGATTGCAACCACAGTGAGAAATGTGTTCATTTACACTGTAATATCAGCTCAGTTTGAGTATTGGAGTTGCTGAATGAAAAAAAGCATATGTGGAAAAACATGTACAATCTATCTCAGGTGTCAGATCTGATGGGCATGCTACCACACCTCTACAGAAACTTCCAGAAGTCCTATTTTGCTGGTTTTTGCAAGAAGCTGGCTGAAGGTAGGCGGCACATTGCGACCTGCTTAGCTCTGTTAAAGAAAAGAAGTAAAAGGTTTGAATGGAGTATTTGTGTGCATGTGTTTCAGGTGCAGAGGCAGGGGATGCTCTCTGTCAGTATGTGTTCACTCAGGCTGGGAGAGTCCTTGCAAAACATGTAGAAGCAGTCCTACCTGCTGCACAAGAGGTAACACACACACATACTGTGCTTTCATTCCTTATGAACATTAACACATACATTTCTCATAACCTCTTCATCTCTGTGTCATGACAGCCTCTACTGAAGAGTGACCTCGGCCTGCCCATCCTGTGTGTGGGCTCAGTGTGGAAAAGCTGGGAGCTTCTGAAGCCAGGTCAGTGTCCCTTAAAGCATAAAAATGAGGTCCTGACACTAAAGAAAATGAGGTGAAGCTGTAAAAAATTTGGCTTAATCTCAGTTTCCTCTCTTTGTTTCTGTATTCCTCTGAACAGGATTCACTGAGGTCTTGGATAAAGTGGCATCATCTGACAAGTTCAAGGGTCGTGTCCGTGGCTACAGCCTCCTGATTTTGCAGCAGTCTTCAGCTCTCGGTGGTGCTAGCCTAGGGGCTCAGAGTGTGGGCACCCCCATCACCATGGATTACAAAGCCAATGCCAAAGTCTTCTACCAACATACTTTTAACAGCAGCCAATGAGAGTGTAGCTGCACGTCTGGTAGATCTCAGCTGAAGGGAAATTGTATTGGTGATTATATAATTATCAGCATCTTCGCTAATGACACTTGCTATAATGATGATAAATGGTGATGATAATGGTTGTGTAATAATGGTTTAGATCTTGATTTGATGTCAGTACAAAATAACAAGAAGATGGTTGGAAATATTGACAATGTTGGCTTTTACAGATGCATAGTGCCTGTTTAAACATTTGAATTCATATTACTTTCATTGTACTGTAATTGCAAATCTTTGCACCTTTACAACACTTGTTTACATTTGACATTTATAATAAAAATGCTGCTTCAGGGTTGCAAAAAATGTCTAACTTCCAAGATAATTAAAGTTCCATTTCAGCCATGTTATGTCTTAAGTCAGTTTAAAAATGTTTCAACTCATAAATACAAGTCAGGGTTTTTTATATATTGGGTTTGTATATTTTATAGTTATTATAGGTGGAGAACTGTAGCAAAAATCAACTCTTTATTCCTGTTTTGTAGGCTTTTGTAAAATAGGACAACACCTTATGCACTTTTTTACTAGTAGATGGTGCTATTACACAAACTTTCCACTTGTGACAGACACATTACAGTGTGAGTTCCTTTGATGGTAATGTAACAACTAACAAGAAACACTTGCATGCACTGAGATGTTACCTAATGTATCTAGAAGACAGTTTGTATTCACAACCCAATCATTTTCCTGTTTATGTTATACAGTTTGTAATCTTTGGAGGGCATCAAGTGTGCCCTGCACACTGCATCAGGGACATGCAAATTTCATGGCCAGGCTGTCTGTGGCACACTTAAATATGGGGTGGGATCAGAAAGAACACATTAATATACATTATAGGTGGCCGTTTTAGAGGTTGTAGCAATCACGGCCAATCACATTCACTACTTTCATCCTTTAAACAGAGGGCTGGCTCTCTCTCTCATGGCTCTGTGAGTTTGAACATCTTTTCCTCAGAGGAAGCTCATAGTTATCTGGGACCTGCAGAGCTTCAACATCAATATACAATACATGAATATACAACAGCTCGAATATACTGACAAGAACAGATGGTAATCTTTTTAAATTGGATTTACATTTTGGGACATGTTGGAGATCCTTTAGTCATCATGTTTTCCAAGTGGAATTGAGTGTGATTTTAACACAATGACCATCTGCTGTTAACTACCACAGTAGAGTTATATGTACAATGAAGGAAAGGTTTTTTTTTTATTTTAAATCAGTCCATTTCTTCTTGTTGTATCTCTTTATTTGAGAGATCCATCCACGTAGGTTTGGCTGTATTGCATCCTGGTTATGAGCAACAAACAAGTTAGGGTGTTTAAAATAATACTCTGCACTGCCCATGTCACATTGCTCCATAGACTGTCCACTGAATCACAGCATCACTGTATGACTGTACAGTACCTAGCATGTACATGAACTAGAACAGGAGTGATTGGACAGAAATGGAGTAAATAGAAACAGCAGAATAAATACAATTTAAATCAAAACAGCAGCAGAAATATTCAGCTGGCTCTCACAGAGAGACTCAGTTCAGGTCAGCTTCACTGCTGTGAGGGAGCACTGAGATTACTCTATCAAAGAGGAATCAAAGGCCCATCAGATGATTCCCTCCAAACAGATGAAGGTAAATACTCTGAGATTTAAGCTATTTGATTTGTCTTATAATAATCTTGAGTTGAATTTTGCAGTATTGCCATGTTTTTGCATCTCTCGTTAGGTTTGCAATTAAATGAGGCTTGTGCTGCTACATAACTTAATCCTACCACTTCATACATTTTCTGACCGTATTTTTCATGCAACTTTCCTCTCTTGAATTATTTTTGTTTAGATTAAAATCTCTGAGGATGCCTTCCTCATTAGTGCACAATCATTTTCTCACAGCCATATAACTGCAATTCTGTTATTTTATTTCAACAAAAACAATACCGGACGTGATTCATTTAGGTAACGTTATTCTGATGCATTTTCCTACAGTGATTTAACAGCAGAGCAAAAATGTTTTCCTCTAAGAACAACCAAGGCTCCACCAAAATCCTTTGCACATCTATAAACCTACATTAATGTTAGGTGATGTTTGGCCACTTGGGGGCAGCGGAAACAAGCTGTGAAGCCACAACTGACATACAGTACCTAGATATCTACCTAGATACCTATTAGTTTATATTGCTAATTTATTGATGAACAGTTGTCTATTTACACATCCAGCAGATGTGGTCCACAGGAAATACTTTAAAAAATATGTGGCTATTACTAAATGCTCTGCTAGCTAACTGCTAACTGCTAGCTAACCGTTTGATGCTTGTCAGGCAGCGTCCGGTTTGGTTGTTGGAGCTTTTTCGCTTAAATTAGCTGGCTGTAAGGTCATAATGAGAGCGGTTTTACTAACCGAAAACAGACAAACTAAACAAAGACATACACTGAAGACAAAACCGAAACTTTATGGAGCTAAAGAGAAGTAAGAGCTGTAGAGACATCCAGAGTTATAAGCTAGCTAACCTAACTCACTGATGCTAGTAGCTAAGTTAGCTAATGCGGTATTAGCCGTCTTGAGGTACTTGTACTGCACTCAAGCATTTTCATTTCTTGCTACATTATACTTGACTACAATTCAAAGTGAAATGCACTTTTTATTATATATGTATTTGACAGCTACCAAACGTTAGTTTACAAATACAACAGTAAAATGCTACTGAGACACTAATGTGTCAGTAATAATGGCCCAATAAAATAGAGGTGTATTGTAAAGGGACAGTTTAATGATTTGAGTACTTTTACTTATGATATTTCTGCTGATAATACATTTAATTCAAGATTTTAGAGTATGTTTTTCATTGTTGTATTGCTGTTTTTTTTATTTAAAGTTTTCTCCTTATGTATGACACTAAAGACTTAATTTTTCCTCAACTGATTGATTTACTTAATGGTGTTGCACAGAATCTCTTAAATCTCTGAGAAGGTTTCCTTAGTTAAGTAAAAAATGTTTGCTGCATTGAAAGATTTTACAGCGGAAAATACTACAGTTTCCATGGTAACTATTTGCTAGCGCTCAAGCTTGTGATACCTTAAGTCTTTTGTGTAATGGTTTAACTAACTTTAAGGGATTCCTTAAGTATAAGACCAACATAAGGAGCAAACCATAAATACTTAGATGAACATTTACAGGAAACTTTAGGAGTAGATGTTTTGTGTGCAACTTATTTCATTTTAAAAAAGCCTTACCATGGACTTTAAGGAAAGTCTTACCTTAAGGTGTTTTGTGCAACCAGCCCCTGATTACTTTCCCCACCACTGTTGGCCAAACAGCTGTACATGGTCAAACCATTGTAGGGGTTGAATCCTATCTTTAGGCTAACCTATACTAGTACTGTATATGACCCACTGACAGTGCATGTGTTCCCCTTCAGACTGTGGGGCGGACACCTTTGGAAGGATATGTCACCACTTACAGTAGTGACTATAAACCTCCCAGTGAGCACCACCCACAAGTCAACCAGCTAAAGCACAGAAGTCAAGCTGAAGCTGAGGCTGCTCCTGCATACATGAACCCACCTCAGGTAGGATGGATTAATGGATAGCCAGACAGACAAGTTAATTGATGCAGATTGACTCACTGACATGTTGACTGTGTTGTTTTCATAGACTCTTCGTGAAACCTGGCCTTCATTTAATCAATACTTTTATAAGACAACGAACAGCATCTATGGCTCAAGTACCTGTTCACAGGTGAAACACAACACTCACTCACACATAACTTCACAATAATGTCCTTTATTTTCTAACTAGCTTTCTGTTAACATTACCACCACCCTCACTTTTTTAATACTCTATGTCTCAGCCTCCCTCCTGTTCCCTCTTCCCTGCCTCCTTGCGTCCATTCGGCATCCACACTCCTTCCATGTCTGAGGTGTCTGGGGTTGTTGACTCCTCCCTGACAGAGGCCAGGACACAGGAAGCGGGAGTTGCAGGAGAGAATGGGCCTTTTCTTTGTGAGGAGGAGAAAGGTCAGCTGCACTATGTCTTTGGTGGAGAGGGTAAGGAGTTCTGCCTGTCTCCCTGAAACACACTCACACACACAGACACATCTAAGCTGGCAGCTGCATTGGTACTCATTCCATTTTCTTTGACAGCTAATGTGTTGGAGCAGCTGGAGGCAAAAGATGAGCCGCAGCAGATGATTGATGTTCTCTGCGAGGAAGGTAAGATGGCTCTTTTCACTTTGGGAGTTTTGATTTGATTCATCTTGTCATTTTTCACTTAAGATGCAAACTGTAAACCTTTCGAAGTACTTTTGGCTTGTGGTTGCTGAAATTCATCAGACACATTCACTGTTTAATCCACCTTTTTCCTCAGCCTGCTATTGTTACAAAGGCCATCAAACTGTAGGTAAAGTGGCTTTGGAATACAGAACTACACATAATTTACATAAACCCACTCTGTTTGTGCACTTTTAGGTGAGATTGTGTTGTCATCTCATGCCGGTCTGGCCTGCTGTGACGATTTCCTTAGATGCGTCTGCAGAGAAGCCAGGCTGCAGCACCTGCTCCGCCTTCCTGTGGCCTGCAGTCCAATTATCACAGTCAAAGGTAGAATAACTCTCTGGTTATGTTAACATTACAAGCAAGTGTGACCCAAATTAAATCTCTCATGTCTTTCCTCTCATGTAGCACAGATCTGATTTTTTCAGAATGTGGACACAGAAATCAGATTTTTTAAAATCAGATTTGGTCCACTGTCATATGTGGTCTTAAATCTGATATACATCCCATCACTGGCTATGCGACTGCTGTGTGAACAGTTAGACCAGAATTCATGTTTGCTCTTCCCATATGTCCATGTTTTTTTTAATGTCATACTTCACTGTGCAGGTTCAGATCACTTACCATACAGTGTCAGAGCAGTTTGTTGAAACTACAGAAGGCTGCCGAGGCTGCACCACTACTGTGGTAGGCTGCCCCAGTCGCTAGCCAATAGAGCCCGACTGCCAGACTCTCTCTGACGTGGGCAGCGTGCCTACGCTCTGTGACAGTGTTGTCATCAGGCCCCAACAGAGATATTGGAATGTAGCCCTGGACACCCTAAATCTTTTGAAAAAACTGTTCCTCTGTAAAAACCTCCACAACGCAGCCCCACCACTCTGGACCTCATCTACCAGCTGCACCCACACCTCTCTCCACAGAAATACCAATACCTGCTAATAGAGCTATGTCTTTTGCATTCCTTCGTCTTCTCACACTCATACCATTGTTACAACAGCTCATAATCTGAAAAATGTCCCATTTTATGACAGCCCAGTGTACAAAAAACAGGTAGAATTCTGAGTAATATTTAGCCATTTGCTTTTGTTTGGGAGAGTGCCATTACAGACATGGCCCTTCAGAATAGAAGGCATTTTCCTTTTCAACATATGAGTAATTGTCATCCCACCTCCGCAGCAAATCATTTGGGAAATAAACATTTGCACCATTTTGTCATTTATTTTTTCCCTTAACACATGTTTCGCAAATGTTACATTTTTTTGTTGTTTGTCCAATTGTGTGACGTTACTGATTGCATATGAGGCGTTTCAGGGCAGAGGTCTGTTCACACTGCTGGCAGATATAGGTCACTTCAAACATGAATGTGAACAGTCTAGGCAAACAGATCAGATCAGGGGAAAAAAATCAGAATTGAGCATTAAGCCCTGTAATGTGTGCATAGCCATCAGAAACCATCACCCCTGTCAGAGAAAATCTGAAAACAGTGACAAAGCATGCTGACAGATGATTGTCAGTGTAATGACTTTGTTAAGTCATACCTCCTATTAGATGCTGAAAATTGGGCTCACTGTGCCTGCGTGAGGGGGTTGGGACCGGCTATTGGACTGAAAAACAGCTTCTTCCTTCAGCCTACCTCCAGGCAGTGTTGTTGGTGAGCCACAGGCACAAACCTCATCTCTTTACCACTAACACATTTTTCAAAATTGTTTCTTGTCAAATACCTCTTAGCCCTGTGTGTTATTTTTTTGACACTTCTCTTTTCCCCTCGTTCTCAGCTGTGAATGGCAAAGTGAGAGCCCAAATCATTGTTTCTTTGAGGTGCAAACCTTCCCTCCCTGCATCCCTCACAGCAGCATATTACCTCCGGCCCACGTACAGCCGACTTTCTACTGCACAGTGCCCAGCAGGAAGCCACCGTTGACAGAGTACCAAGCCAGGTACACTGCTGAGGTAAGAGAGCTTTATTGAGTATGTGTGTGTAAGATGATCTTCAAACTCTAGCCCTTTGGCTTTTTCATTTTCCTGTATATTTGTCTCTCATTACCTTGTGTGTCTCCTCCCAGTGGGCCCAGCCTAAGATGCAGCAGTGTTACATTCACCATCATCATCCTTCATGTACCAAGATACTTGATCCTTCATGCTGAATCTCTTTTTTCTTTTGTCTCAATACACAGCAGATTACAAAAAAACTGTTTTATGTTTTGTGTCAAATATGATTAATGTTAAAAAGCACTGCTTCTTCATCCAGTCACCAGCACGTCTCAGGCCGAGAGGATTGCCACATGTGAAAAATCCCTCTTACTGTGGAAGCGGTCAAGGTATCTTGCCTCAGGGTACAGAAGCTGAGGATGAGTCATAGCACAGCAGTAAACCATCTGCTGGCAGGCACTTAAAGGGGACAGTAAAATGTGCCTCTTGTCATCCTATTGGGACGAGGTTCAAATGTGCACGCGGCAGTGCAGAGGTGGAATAAGTACTCAGATTCTTTAAGTAAAAAATGAAAATAAAACAAGGCAAAAGGGTAGGTGTTCATTTACAAATAAGTTGCAGCCTAAATGTATATGTCAACACACTACAGGGCGTTGCCATGGTGAAAATAGGAAGAAGTAAGACTTCTCTATGGTTGCTGTGTTTTTTTAACCATTCATTAATCAAGAAAATGAACATATCTCTGGTTGTATGATGCCAGTCACGTTCTTATCAGAGATAATCTGCTATGATGACCTTAATTACCCTTTCAGTCATCCTACCAGATTGATTATGTTCTGCTCACCTTATCAGATTGTGACCTTCAGTGCATTCTGGGGTGGTTTGCAGCCCAGTGTGATGCAAACGAGATGAAAATCTCTACATTTCTTAATGCTCCTTTGCATTAAGGCACTTGAGGTGCTCATGCTTTCCCCTGGAGGTTGTCTCTTAATCACTAGCACAGTATTTACAGTCTGAGGAGTCTTTGTTTAGAGGTCAGTGCTGCTATCGTCCATGGGGGTTTCCTCCCTCTTCCTCTTTTTCTGAGGCTCCTCTTATTCCACGCTCTCCTCTTCCACAATGGGGAAGTAGCGCAACAATGACAGTATCCTGTGGCCATCATCAGTGTAGTCAGACACCCTGAATCAGCCCCTCGTCTCCTCTTCTACAGCACTGTAGGCTGTGGACACAACACTGTTGTACGGTTGAGCCTCCCACTCCAAAGGGAGGATGTCATTCCTCCGGTCTGCTTTCAGATCCGCTTTATGAAGTTTGATGAGGTGGACTGAGGCCCAAGGGAAGGAGGAGTGAGCAACATGGACAAAAATATTTCAATTATCAAAGAAAGTGATGATTAATACACATGATCATAGGAAAATGCATTTTCTTACCTTTTTCAAGGTTTACTAAAACCAAACAGTATCTTTTTTTTATCTTGTGACAGATTTAGGTCATTAATCTTCTATTTAAACATGAAAAACTGAACCCCATATCAAAGTATGATTAGACAGTAATACTGAATGATCTTGCCGCCCTACCTAAAGCCTGCAGGGGTCATCATGACTTGGTTTTGCCACCAGACAACAGCATGTAGCATTCTCCACTTTGTCATATTAATAAGTGAAAGGTGATCACAGGTCGTTTGTCCTGATATTTGCCATGGATGCAGACTAGACAGGTTCTCCGGTGAAGGGGCGTGGATGTTTACGCATGGACACTGAAAGGGTGGTGAGGTTTTCCATTATCAGACAACAGCTCCTCAAGTTGATTATGTTTGGTTTAACATTTTTCACCTTCCTAAATGCAAAGCAAGTTGTGTAACTTCAGTAAGGGACTTAATGACTTATCATTGGGTAAACTGAAGGACAGCTAATTAATGGAGCTTGTGTTGGGATTTTTTAGTTAAATTTCAGTCATGATTTTTAAGCCAACATGACAAAGTCCAGGTAAGTCCATTAAGTGCCCAGAAAATTTTCATGACAACTGGGCAAAATCCATGTGCACAATCTTTATGACACCATACACAGATAGCAGTGAGCCGTTCAGGTATCTCTTGACTCAGTGGCTGCTGTTGAAGACACTGATAACTGTGGTGTGTGCACACACTTACACTCACACAAATCTCCTAGACCACAGCTTATGTAGAATGTTTCAGAATGAGGAAACTAAGCTTAATGATGAGTAAGAGGGGCCATGAAAGAAAAAAAGGCTTAGTATATATGATAGCTATCACAGAGATAACCTTCTGTGGAGGCCTAAAATGTCTGCAAGTTATGTATTTGTTTCTTTGTAATATGAGAACACCCAAGTCGATCTAATACATTTCCATAAAAAAAGTTAATTTACAATAATCCTACCTGCATACCTGTTAAGATGAAGACAATCCCATCAGCTTCAGCTGTAGTTTGTGTTTAGTGCTTAAGAGCAAATGGTAGCATAGTATGCTAAACTAACAGTGAACATCTGCATGCTAGCATTTAGCTGAAAGCATTACTTTTAGCTTTACAGAGCTGCTAGCATGGCTGTAGACTATCAACTACAACATTTACAACATTTTTACGTGTCCTCTGCCTCTGTGTACATAATCCAACCAACTGCTGGTTACCTCTTACTGGGTGAGATCTTGAGCTCTATAAAATAATTTTTTAGTTGAAATCAGTTCTCAACACTGATGTTTCTGCATTTACGATTACAGACACTGGCCCAGGGCCTTACTTTGGCCACTCAAGGCAATCTGGAAAAAGCAGTCTTGTCTATATTATAATGCATTTGGTGTGAAGATATAATTAATTCGTCACTGGTAATTTAATAGAGCTGTGTGTGCTTGTGTGTTAAATTAAAGAACAACATGGCAGTGTCTTCACCGTCATTAATACTGACCAAAAAGTATGGGCTTATCAGGGTTCTTGTCCAGTATCTATCAAAATGTGACAAAAGAGTAACAGAGCATTTGTCTTTAACATCTTTATTCATCTTTTTTCATTATTTTTATTTGTATTGAAATTCATACTCTTTGTGTCTTCTGGACCTTTATTTTTTTAACGGCTTCTGTCAGCTAACGCGTCTAAACAAAAATCACCAAAAATGATTTCATGTTGTACAATCCACCTGGCGGACATTCCTATTGGCTTCACCAGGGTGCCATTCCACAGCTGTGGTCCAACACTGTGCGAGGAAGTTCCATTTTTAACCAAGATTTTACTGTTTCTAACTGCACAGTTTAAGAACACACTTGAGTACTTGTTAGGCTGAACATCAGATGAGCTGCATGGATGTAAAGAAGTGCGTTCACCTGTCAGACACTAATTATTTTAATGAAGTACAAGTGCACAAGTGTCTACTTAACAGCAATACAGTAAAATACACAAGACATTATTGTCACTGTTGTCACCACAAATGAACAGCGGCATGAAGAACATTAATGTTCGGATCACAAGATGACAATACTGCCTCTGCATTTTCAACCCAAGATGGCTGAGAACTTGAAAAACTGACTAAATAATTCATGATTACTGTTGATCAGAATCTGGGTTTCCTAAAAAGCATCTTCACATATACAACTTCTTACTGGTTCATAACCTAACAGATATTACACTTGCACTACGAGTTGATGCTTCAGGGAAAGCCAGACCACAACAAAGATTCACGGTTAAAAAAAAAAAAAAAACAGGAACTTCCTCAAAGACGTCAACCTACAAAGAGGAACAGCAAGGAAGCCCTACGGTCTGCCATGTGTTCCATACTGCTTTATCCTGATTGGCTGTGACAATATTGTTTCCTCACTTTTCCTCCTGCAAACAGGACTGAATGGACACCGCAGGTTACTGTACCCAGAAGAGACACAAAACGCCTCGTCCTCAAAAACATGGAGAAAAAAAAAAAGAAAATAAGAGGAGGAGAGGCTATTTGAAAACCTGATTTGGATATGGACACTTGATCTGATGCCGGACAAACCAAGTTGCTCCGGCAGAAAGAGGCAGTGACTGTGTTCCAGACCAAATACTCCCCTGTAACAAGGTTGTTCACTTCACCCAATAAATCCAAATTGAACTAAAGGATGAAACCATGAACAAAAAAAAGGAGAAGAAAGTTCTTTAAGGTTCAAAAGTCTTGACTGTCCCTAAATAATATTTTTCTTGCTTAACTCGACTTGTTGCATGATTGAAATTCACACCTCTGTTCTAATAAACTGGACAAAAGATAAACATGGACTTCCACATAAAATGGGAAAATAACTTCATGATTACACCTGTCCATGTCTGTTAGGATCACTTAGAAAACAAGTGTGCAGGGAGGGTGGGGTCTGTATTTGGTTTGGAACGGAGCCGCAGCAGATACAAATAAGAACCCGCATTTCTAGATGCACAAGATTCTGTGATGTGATGACATCACAGGAGCAAACGTTAACGGGTTGGACTGACCGTGATGACGGAACAGAGCAGCTGCAGAAACCCATCGAGTCCCCTGAAATGTTAGTCGTTCTCTAACCACACTGTCATGGAAACCCTCGACCTACAGATGATGTTTTGCAAATTTGACAGCACACAAATTAACAAGAATGTGAAGTCATTTTAAAGTTAATTAGATGTTTTGGATTGACGTTTTTGTCCTGGCATCACTCCTTGGTAGCTGCCTCAGTTCCAAAGTGACATCAATGAGATCTGCATACTCTGTAAACGTCAACACTGTCATCTGAAATGCAATGATGAGCTAACGCCCGCAGCAGGGCGGTGCTGGTATTACACCCCTCCCCCACCCCTGTTCCCAATGTCCCTCAGTTTACAAGAAACAAACAGGAAATAAAAAGATAAAAGAAAAAGAAAGACAGAAAAAGAAATCCCCCCACCCCCCAACTGGGCCTGCCAGCACGCCATTGACTTCAAGTGTGTAGGAGTGTGTGCATGTGTGCGTGTGTGTGTGTGTGTGTGACAATCAGTGTGTGTGCGGTCAAGGCCGCCAGAGTCTCTGAGAATATGTGAGCACTGGTGTTTGTCTGTGTGTGTGCGCGTGGAGGCTCCATGGGGGTGAGGGGGACTCCTAGTATTTCTTCCCCGGGATGAACTCCTTCGCCTCGGGATTCAAGACGCTCTTCCTCTGCAGAAAAAAAGACATGGAACAAGAGTAAGGGCTTATTCCTTTGAACCTGAACTCTTGCAGTGTTCATCAATTTCTAAGTGAGCGTCTCTGTTGTGAAACTGGATGCATCTCTGACTCACCGCCACTTCCTCCAGGTTGCTGTGGTGATCGCTGACGGACAGGCCGTTGAGCTGCTGCTGCAGCTGCCCCACCCCCTGGTTGTTGAGGTCACGTGAAGGGATGAACCAATCCTGGTCCTCCTCCTCCAGCATTTCCTGGAAGCAGCGCTCCAAGAACTCCTGCTCCAACAGCTCCTCTTCCACCTGGGAGATGACGCGGGAGAGAATAAAGAGACAGAGAGGTGAGTGACATGTGCAAGGGCACAGAAATTGGCAGGAAAAAAGAGCATGGGATAGATGGACAGCAGGAGGCATATATATATATGAGAGATTATTTGCGCGACAAGTAGGTGGAAGGTTTCCCCAAAGAGAAATATTCTCAGAAATGTGGTGGCATTAAAATACATGACTCATCCAGGCAAGCTCGAGAAACAGACTGAGAGGTCTAGAGACAGCTGAAGGGGCAGTGAATATTGGAAGAAGATGGATTTTGAGAGGAGGTGGGGGGGGGGGGGGGGGGTACACACATTTCTACCTATACATCACTAACCAGTAACTTAAGTGAAAGAAAACTCAAGAAAAATTAAATTGTGGGTGGATATCAGTCTGACCTGAGAACCTCCATCAGGATAGCGAGGAAAACATGAAGGAGGGTGCAGAATGAGATGGCAGAGCAAAATGTACAGGGAGCTTCACTGAGGTTAGAGAGACAGGAGAGCGGGACAGCAGGAAGGAAACGGAGGGGGGAGTGAGGACATATAGGAAATGGCAAATAAGCAAAAAGGACAAGTGGTATGGAGTGAAGGATGAGAAGTAATTCAGTGGCAGATTCCTGAAATTCTCATTAATCTAGGCAACATAGCAAAGAGCACAATGTGATGTGGGGTCACAATCTAGGAAAGCAGGTGCAAGAAGGAGGGATGTTAACATTTTAAATTCCAACACTTAGCAGGCTCTGCTAATAAAAATGCAGGAGGCTTTGTTGGTGTGGGCATGCTGCTGCAGGTGCTGGTGGGAAGATGAAATATGATCCAGAGCGAAAGGGGGGCCCTGGTGCCTGATCATGCTTGGTATAAGGAGCCAACCATGAACATCAGCTTCCCCAGTTTAACTCTCTTTGCCATTCGCTATCTCTCTTTCCCAAAAATACTTTAAAAATAATAAACTATGGACAACCCGATAGCTGGGTGGTTTTGGTTAGGGTGCATACCACATGGGGCAAAGGCCCAAAGCAGTGAGTCCCAGCTGTCTCTCTCCATTATCAAATAAAGGCATAAAATGTCCCAAAAATATCACAAAATAACAATCCCTTGAATTTGATTTTGAAAGAACTGACCAAAATATGTACCAAGTGGCACATTTAGCAGCTGACAAATGCCTGGAAAAACCATATATGGAAGACACTGTTTCTAATTGACTTTAAACTTATCCTTGGCATTTCCTAGTTGGCCAGCACAGGCAGATGTTGGTCGGAATGCGACCTTCAGGGTGGCGTCCAAGTCAAAATATGAAGTCTGATATTGAGACAGAGCACATAATACCAGCACTTTTGCTTTGATGAAACTAATCATGTCCCCCGGCTGAATTTTCCAAGATGATGCCGTGTTTGAAGGAAGAAGATGATTATGGCATGAGGGAATGTATGTGTGTGTGGGGACAGAGGCCAAATAAAAAGAAGGAATGAGAGTAGGAAGAGACTGCGAGGGACAAACACATCGAGTCTCTGTATCTCAGTCTCTCGGTCTCTAAAATCAGTTGGAAATTAGAAATCAGAGTTAAAATAGTGTGAGCACCCACCTGTCTGTTATACTCTTCTTCATTCTCCATCCACATGTACTCAGCGAATGGGTTGGCATCGCTGCCCTCTCCTGCGTGCCCATTAGCCACTGGCTCCTTTCCCTCCTTGCCCGGAGCTCCTCCTCCCGGTGTCTTGGCCACCTCTGGACCGCTCATCTCAGCCGGTTCTGCACAGGAAAACAGCAACTTTTAGGTAAACCACAAAAACTCTTCATTAAACTTCAGCTCTGGACTTCATTGTGGTAAATATATATATTCAAAAAGACATGCTTAAAGTATTTTGGGCCCCCAAAAACAAATGAAACACGAGCAAACTTCCTCATTTTGTTCTATTCTTGAAGCCAGATAACTTTGACTCTTCTCCCATTATTTAACCCGCAGCTGGGTCTTATTGTCTGTTAAATTTACATTATCTCATCTGAATTGAGGCTCTGACGTTTCAGCCCGGGATCCAAATTGAACAAATCAGCGACATCTCGGTTTCATTTTAGGTACAGCTGAAAAATTGCTCCTACGGGTAAAAAAAGTCTTCATGGAGTCTCAGTGCTCATAAACAACAAAACCATAAAACAACTATTTTCCCTATCTCATAATCTGAAGAATAAGAGACAGACTGAAAACTGCATCACCAGCTGGGACGGATCCTGCTCTCCAAAACTACTCTGTGATATCTAAAAATGTTCCTACAGCAAACAACTAAATGAGACCGAGAGCTTAAGAGAGTTGTTGGCATTTTACGACTCCAATCAATCGCTTTTCAGGTTGGCGAATTGCAGTGCTGCGGTAAAAGGCCACAGTGTGTTATTTTTAACAAGGAAAATACACACAGGCCCAGGCTGACATCATGAAGAGAAACAGCGACATTCCCATGCAAACAAACACCCAGGGTGTTAAATCAGTTGGATTATACTAATAAAAAGAGAAAATACAGCACGATGTCAGCTTCCTCATTTCCATACAGAGTTTAGTTAGAGTCAAATCTACAGCAAGAACAGCAAAACCAGGAATGTAACAGAATAAATGTCAGAGAAAAGCACAAGTTAGAGCAGCGTCAGGAGAGAAAAGTTACAGTAAATCAGTGAGTCAAACATAATAGTGCTGTATGTTGCAATGCAGGTGTTACACTCACACTCACACACACCTGTCCAGCTGCCTTCAGATGACTGATTAAACAGAAGGCAAAATATATCACTGAGTAAAAAATTAAAATGCAGTTGAAAAATCAATCTTTGGGTTCAGTACATGTGTTTTACGGATGTTCTTGCTACAGTGCCAGTGGTATTTCTTTGGTACTCTTAACGCTGAGCATTATGCAGCTTAGAAAGTAATTTTGAGTGCTTATGTCACTGACAAGTATTCTATACTGCACATTTTGCGCTTGAACTTTTCAATCGAATGATTTAAATACTTGCTGAGTGACGCTTTAATGAAAGCACACCTGGTTGTCAGACATCTAAGTACAAAGAGCCAGCATCATCTACATGAAAGGGCCCTGACACACCAAGTTGACAGTCAGCCATTGGTCAATGTCAGGCCGCTGATGAGTGCCTGTTGCTCTAGTTTTGGTGGTGCATCCTGCACCGCTGGCCATCGCCTGATTTTTTTTAGCCAATTGAGCTTGGAGAATTGGCATCTGAGACACCAGAGCCCATTGGTAAGTGAAATCAACTCAAGTCAAGAAAGAACGAATTAAAAAAAAAAAAATTATATTAGGTTAGATTTTTTTTCAGCCACTGAGCTCTTTAGCAGAAACGGTTTAAAATGGTTTGTGTTATTGTTCGTTAGCGCACGGTGAATATGCTTTGTTCTTTCAACATCAGGTTGTGTCGTTAACTGGCTAACTAGGCTCTTGAATACGTCCTGTCTGTCTTCCGGTTTCCCTTTTTGAATGACGCATACAGACTACCGCCACCTGCTGGTATGAAGTTATTCCCTCTCTCACGCAGGTGCTAGTACGTGCTAGTTGGCCACTGGCTTTAGTCTTTGCTGTGTGTTGTAAGTGCAATTTTTTGGCGACACAGGCAACATAACAGTCTGCCTTCGTTGCCACTAGTTCTTTGATGCCAGGTTTAGTGTGTCTGGGCCTTAAATGAACTTCCATCCTGTTTCACTTCTTCTCCTTCCTTTGCACTGGGTGTCACAATACCTTCTACTTTCTGCCACACACGACATATCTATGCTTAAAAAAGGTAGTTCACATTGCAACAGGAATTCATGACACCATCTAAAATGCCATATCATAAGTATTCTAGAGTCAAATAAGGAGAAAATGGCAATTAAACATCATTATTTGTGCTTCCCTACTTTTGGAACGCAGAACTCCTGCTCTCATGAGAAATGCCCACTGTAATGACATAATCCTCAGACTGCCAGCCAGCTCTAACAGACGTGTCATGACTCAACTGCGGCCTCTCAGTGGGGAGAGAGGGGGGGGAAAAAAGGGACAGCAATGATCTCAACCAAGCCGCACACACAGCCCCAGGGTCAGCCCGATGCACACACACTATGGCAATGTTTGCCTTGCGGGGTCCGACTCCCAGCAGCTTCACTCATATAATAAAAACCTGATTTACAGGACATAATGTTACGTTGACACAGATTCCTGCTATTTCGGCCTTGGTCAGTGTAACAAAATCAACAAAGGAGAGCTGAGTCCAACCCGAGGCAGACTGCCACTGACAGTACACAGTGACAGCACGGACACACTGTTCTTTAGGAGTTCAAACAAACACGTATAATCTAAGTAGGTTAGTAGACTAAGAGGAGGTGTGTCTGCCTGGCTCAAAGCTGTCAGTGTTTCTGTCTACCTGTGGAAGCAGTTTAATTATGCAGTGCAGAGATTACACGAGATGTCAGCTATGAAGGCAAATAACACTCAGGGAGGGAGCATGTGAGAGGGCAAGATAGAACGTTTTGTAAAAGAATACGACAGGCCTAAATTTAATTCTGCACTTGCTGAGCAAGGCGCCAGCAGAGTTTGAAGTCTGCATGTGAGTGTGCCACTGTGTTCAAATTCACTTTTACTGCAGTCTACAACGTGTCATTGAACAACAAAATCTTTCAACATCGATTGCCACAGTTTACCGGACAGTTCAAACAAATGCACAACACTGAAGATGTGCAGCATTTAATTAAATATATTAGGCATGGGAGTAAGAAAAACAAGACAGGCAACAATGAAGTTTACACCAGAGGTCTATCTATATATCTATATAGCAAAATGTCCTTTATAAATGGATGAAATTATAGTTAAAAATATGATTCAAGTCACTCATGAAGCAAACATGCCAAACTACTTTCTGGTTCCAGCTCCTGTCAAAGAAGTTTTGCTGCTATTCTGTTTTATATGATAATTTTCTGACATTAGATACATTCTCTATCTGAAAAAAAAAATCCACTTTGCATCTCCGTTTGAAACATGTCTTAAAAGAAGTATGAAATTCATAAAGCCAAAAGTCATCAGGGGAATCCCCACCCTACTAATCAATTCCAACAATTAACTCACTGCAAACATGCCTCTACTTGGACAAGGCAGGAGTGCACGGCGGGTCAATCGGCATGAATAAGGAAAGGTGGGGACAGCGCGCACTGTGCCACGTACGGCATGTAGCACTTAATATGTTCACGTTGCATAACCATGTGTTCGTCACCATGTAATATTTAGTTAGCGGAGCCCAGCATCCTCCATGCCTGCAAGCAGAGTGTGATTTGATCCGATTTGATGAGGGTGATGGATAAACAAAGGAAAGGTAAAATGCTGCTCTGCCTTGATTATGCATTTCTTCACTGCAGATCTTTAAGATGAACTCTATATTTTCCTCCTCTTAGCATAAAATAATGTCTCCTTGGGTTTACATATTTGTTTTATGTATGAGGAGTGGATTACATATTTTAAATGACATTAATTGGAGGTGTACCTCTGTTAAAAAAATGTCACTATTAAAATGTTATTTTGCAAGTATTTTAATAAGCCAATAATCCATTAATTCATCACACAAATTAATCAAAATTCACTGATTCCAGCAGCTTTTGTATAAATTAAATACTTTTGAGTGTCAAAACATTAGAAGCAAAACCTTGGAAAACAATGCTGGACATTTATTTTGCTTTAGTCTGCCACTTCACAGGTTAGGGGTTGCTTGATTAGTCCTTGAATTTATAATGCAAAAAAGCCAAACATATAATAATTCTACTTTGTCAAAAGGAAATATTTGCTATTTTTCTTAGGTTTTGGACTGTTGGACAAAGAAATATGAGATTTGACAATATCACTGTAGGCTCTGGACAACTGTGATGGACACTTTTCACACAGATTGTCGTTTTACAGACTAAGCAGTTACCCAAGAAATAACAGTTGCATTATTAAATTGATAATGAAGACGATTCTTGGTAGCAGCCCTAAAATATAAACCAGTACAAACAGTAAAAGACATGTCTCCAAGTCAACTCATTCATCCCAATTGTAAACAGCTTGTAAACTGGTTGGATAACAACAAAATCAGGTAACGCCATACAAAGGAACAGTTTTGTAAGGTCAAAAGATTAAACTCCACGCGTGGATATGTCTGGTCAGGTGTTTACAAATCATTTGTTTTTAGAGGAGACTTTGAGTACCTGCACGTGAAGAAAAAAAACTTAAAAAAAAAAAAAAAAATCTCCAACAGAGATCCAACATGGAGCAGGAAAAAAAAACTAGAGAACACGAGAAAGCGAAGAAATGTTAATGCAACTCCGTCAACTGTTCATAATATGTGCTTTGAATCCGACAGAGTAAAACGCTTCATAACACATTATGTAATGTAACAGTTAGTGTACTGTGTGTAATGGGAGCTGTGTCGTCGTAGCGTATAGCATGCTAACGCCTTCTGAGAGCTAACGGGCTCAACCAGGTGTCCGGGCCTACCTGGAAAGTTGGTAAAGGGATTGGACGGTTTTAGCCGAGGTAATGCTAAGTGGCTAGTTTCCCGTAGCTGCAAATAGATGGATACACATAGCTGGGCTGTCAATGGACGGGCCTAAGGTGAAAGCTATCCCAGTAACAACAAAGGGTAGCGGACTGGGTGGCTATAAGCAGTTATTTCCAGTATAGTCGTTGCGTGATTTTGCCTGAAAACAGCTAAAATGCAAACAATTAACCAAACGCAAACGACGTTGTACGCTTTTACAACACGTTAACCACACACCGAGGTCAAAGTCCGCTCCCGTTAAGATGCTTGAGGCCAAACAAAGTCGGCTGCTCCGCTATCAGCTAGCACGCTGCTACAGCATGGCAGCATCACTGAAGCAGGTCAACATAACAAGCCTCCGCTCCGGGGACTGCAACAGCTTCACACACACACAATACATGACATGACAAGCTTTTAAAAGTTACCTGGCATTGTGCTCTCGGTGTTCTCCTCGAAGTGTAACGTGACACAAAGTTATATTAACTGCACAGCGAAGAGTGCGTGTTCGTCGTTTCTCCAGTGGGGATTACTCTGTGCTGCGATGCAACGTAGCTCAAGTTAGCTAAATCCTGTTAGCCACCTTGCTAGCGTTAGAAAGCTGGGTCGGTCACGTGGTCTGCTGCTGCATTCGCGTTCTCTCGGGAATGTGGGAATTACGAGCAGATTTCACATGAAAGCAATGCTAAAAATGTGAAAAATGCCTTTTATAACTTCCAGCAACCCAAGGTAACATCTTTGCATGTCTTGTTTTAACCGATCAATTGTCCTAACCCATAAAAAAGTCAGCATACAATGATATAAACAGGAAAAAACTGAAAATCATCACATTATATTGTTTTTCTGCTTGATAGACTACTTCAGTGATTCATAAATGAACTGATTCATAGTTCTAGTTCTAGACTTGAGCAAACTGTGATTAAAAAACTAACAAAATTCTTGTATTCTACTGATAACAGTATAAAGAGTTTGATCTCATGCACCAGTGCTTTGAGTGTTTGATGTGTGTTAATATGGAAATATAATATTAC